ATTATTATTATTATTATTATTATTAAGTAGGCCCTATGTCTTGGAGACTGCTTCAGACTTTGTCACAGCAAGCAGGATTATATTGGTCAGCATTAGGACCGTGGTATCCAAAGTAAGCAGTCTTTTCTATCATTTTTATAGCATTTTCGCATGTGTGAATTTCAATATTAAATTTGACTTGTTGAAAATTTTCAAATTGCATGCAGTTTTTGTGTTTTGAGAACTTGTTTGTTCATTTTTGACTATGTGGGCATGGTATTGTTGCAGTTTTTGCCTGTTATGTTTGTAATATGTGAGGTAGCGTGGTGGAATCAGGCTCTCGTCAAAATAATCAAAGAGAAGAAACGTGCATTTTTCTACCGGTTTATGAATTTTTATCAAATTTTGTTTTTTTGGCTCAGCACCTTTCATCCCCATTAAAGAACTCATTTCTGTGTGGATTTTTCTGAAAAACGTTGATAAAAGGAACAAAAAATGTAAGTTTTCAGTTACCACGGACTCTTATGCTAAGGAAATAACTAATCTTTGGCGGCCATTTTCTGACTAATTTTACCTCTGAAAACAGGTGACCCCACCTCCTTCTTCTGCAAATATCTCGACTTGTATTCAAGATAAATGGAATTTTTTTCCATCCAAATAAAGACAAGAGAACAAGCTTTAAGATGATACCAATAACTCTGCATGCCCAAAAATTGACGAGAGCCTGATTCCACCACGTTGACTCACATTTACTACTTCTGCATGAATTTATTTTGAAAGCCACCAAAATTTTTTCGGATGGCTGAAATTTGACCGTTGGTCAAGTGGTTACTACTACGCCTATACTATTGGTCACAAAAACAAAACAATTACATTTTTTCAGACAGAAAATAACAATAAACAGCATATTGTGTAAGTTTCATTCTTTTATTGCAATGATTGTATTCACTGTGATTCTTAGAAGTATGGTGCGCACTCATATGACCTTATGCAGCTGTGAGCGCCGTAAAACACTTACCAAAAGAAAGAAAGAAAGAAGTAAGGGGAAAAAAACCCCAGCACTGATACTGTAGTGTGATCAGCCAAAAGGCCCCCCCCCCCCCAGCAGCAAGAGAGTGAAACTTTTGGACTTGTATGTGTTACGACGCGGTAGACTCAGGCGCTCGTCAGTTTTTGGGCATCTGGAATATACGCCTGTCTTGATGACGAGTCGAGATATGTTGCGTTTGAAGGAGGTCGGGTTTGCCTGGTTTCAAAGGTAAAATTAGCGAGAAAATGTCGACCAAAGTTTGGTGATTTCCAAAGCTTGAGAGTCCTTGGAAACTGAAAATATACATTTTTGTTGTGCCTTTAATCAAGGTTTTTCAGTAAATTCCACACAGAAATATATTTTTTAATGGACATAAAAGGTGTTGAGCCAAAACACAAAAAATAGAAAAGAAAAAAAAAGTCAAACTGGAGGAAAAATGCCGATATCTTCGATTTCATTATTTTGACGAGCGCCTGATTTCACCACGGGTCCTCACATATGACCTTTTTGTGTAGCAAGGGCCTTAAAACTTTTACTAAAACTAACTACTTTTCCCCCTTCTTCTCTTCTCATTCTACTCCTCTTCCTTCTTCTTCCCCTCCCTTTTATTCTACTCCATTTCCTCTTCTTTTTCTTCCCCTTCTCCCTCCTCCTATTCCCCGTCTTCCTTCTTCTTTTCCTCCTCCTCATTCTTCCTTTTTGTCCTACTCTTCCTCCATCTCATTCTACTCATCCCTCTTCTACTGATCCCTCTTCTACTCATCCCTCTTCTACTCATCCCTCTTCTACTCATCTCTCTACTCTTCCTCCTCCTCCTTCTCTTCCTCCTCCTTCTCTTCCTCCTCCTCCTCATCCTCTTCCTCCTCCTCCTCCTCCTCCTCCTCCATTTTCTCCTCCTTTCCCTCTTTTTTTTCCCCTTCTCCTCTTCCGCCTCCTCTTTCTCTCTTCCCTCCTCCTTCTTCTCTCCTTCCTTTTCCCGCTTTCTAATAGGGACATTAATTATTGTATCTCATCTCATCTCATCTCCTGATCTTAGTGGGTTGTTGGCGGGTGCTCTGGTGTGGTTTGCTTCTTCTTTCCTACATCAAACATCTATCGTCCTTATCTCTCTTTCTTCTTTTTTAA